TCATAACAATGCCAGACTTTTTCGGACCTTATTTTTAGGTTAAAGCCTCGCGCCATAGTGGGCCGTACCCTGCTGTGCAGTAATTGATGTTCTAGATCATTTTTAAATTTTTAGTGATAAAAGGATGGATCCGCGCAAAAATATTTCTATTTCCAAGTCTGTTTTGACTTTATTAGAACAAGATTTGGCTCGATTGGCTTTGCTGCACAGGCTGTTCCTATGCACTTAAGCAAGCCGAGACCTAAAGTATTTTTATGATAAGAATATTAGAACAAGAAATGCTTCTTATTAGAACAAGAAGCATTTTCCGACTAGAGATTTTTACGATATTTTCAAAATTTTCGCCTGCGGCGCTGAAAATGATGTCTCGTTAATTCCCTCTGATATTCTACTGATCTCTCAATGTTCTATTAATTCTCCAGATACCCTCCTTAATCACCCTATGTCCCTTTAATCACTTGATATCTTCCGATGTAGCGGTAGGTCGAAACAATAATTACCTAGGGTAGTTATTAAATGATATACGGTACGCTACAAAAAAAAATAATTTTAAAAACTTATTGTCTCCTACATACACTTAGTATATACACAAAAGGTAAAACTGGAACATCCCTCTTGTTCCTTCGGTATCACGCCTATATCTCTCACATACGCTTTAAGTTGAAATACAGACTTACTTTTTACCTCTGCAAGCGAAAATTTTGTGAATTTTAGAAGGCATTTAATTTTATATCCGAAAGGGCTACTTATAAGCGCGGCGCGACATTTGGGGATCAGACCTATTTACCCATAAGAACTACAACTTTTTGATCAACTGAGACTCAAAATAGGGGGGATGATATATCCATGAAGTACCCTTTATTATCTTTGTCGAGGGATCTGAAGTTATTAAACTAGGATAAAGGGGGATGTGGAGGGATTAAGAGGTGGATTTGGAGCTTTAAAATGGTAGGTCGGGATTTCAACGATGAAAATCGGTAAAAGGAACATTTGACCTAAATAAACACTTGAAAATTCTTAATCATAGGGTGATACTTTAATAAAAAAAACTCATGCAAATGATAGCTCATTCGATAGAGCTAATGAAACTGAGTCGAATAACCCCAAATCAACGTGATTGGGCAAAATTTGACAAAGTTGTGAGATATGTCGCCGACTCCGTTAGGTCTACTTATGTCATAACTTTGTCAAATCTTGTCCAATCACGTTGACTTTGGTGTCATTCGACTCAGCTCGATGAACTCTTTCGAATGAGCTATCAATTGTTTAATTGTTCGACCTTATGGTTTTTTGCCCCTATGATTTTTCAATTTTCAGGGGTCTGTATCTCGGCAAATCAAGTCGGATATTTTGATTATTTAATTATTTATTTTTTAATTTTATTTAAAAATTTTTAATAATTTATTTAAAAAAGTTAACATTCTGATTACTATTATTTTTAGAATTATTCTAGTGCATCAATCCTAATTCGATATATTATTTAATAAAAAATGTGGACTAATATTACATCATTTGAATTATATAGAAATAGAATTCACATATTTAAATCAAAAAAATCTCGCCTTACCCTTGCTCTATCAAATTGCCTTGGTCCTGTAATTAAGGCAAATTTTAACTTTGGTAAGCTTTATTTCATTAGTTTTTAAGGGAATAAAACATGATTTACTATTTTAGCCACCGAGGCAGAAATGATTCTGGTGTCCCGCATATGCTCGAACATTGCATATTCCTGGGTTCAATGTTATATAATGGAAAAGGCCTGCTGGATATAGCAAGCAATTTGAGTATGTTTGATCATTAATAAACTGTTACAATTTGTAAGATAATTTTTCTTTTTAAAGATTATGTAATAGACACCAATGCTTCTACATCGCAAGACAACACATCATACTCATTTGAGTGTTCTGATTTCGATGGATTTTAAGGATTTTTGATATGTATCTTGATCATTTTATGGCCCCTTCTTTTGAAGTAATAATTTTTAATTTTTTTATTTTTATACAATTTATAAATACTTAGCCGATTTGTTGGCCTTAAAATCCTTTCAATTATGTCTTATAAAAACATGTAACAGTAATTCTGCAAACTTATATAAAAACCAAAAATTTAATTTGCCTTATACTTTTATATAAAAGTTGCAGTTAATATTGATAATCGAATAAAATCTTTTGTAAGAATGTTTTTCGACTGTAATGTATTACAATATTGACCATTTGCAAAATTTATTAGAATAGGAGAGAACAAAATAAAAAACTAAGTGAAATGTACATAATTTTTATCCTAGAAGGGAATAATATAATTAATACAAAAATAAAAATTAATTAGTTAAATTTGAAAAAATTAAAATTTTAAAATAAATTCTAGTCCAATCTATACAACAAGGAGGTTCATGCAGTCATGGTGAAAAAGTAGATATCGGTGTGTTATACAGTGAGATGGCAGGCAACGAAAGAAATAAATGTAGAATTGTTAAAAGGAGGACTTAAAAATTATTATATGGAAATAATTCATGTTATTCCTATAATACAAGAGGAATGGTGAGTTTAATAAGAACTTGAGCTAGAATATTGATAGAGCTAGAATATTGAACTTGAGCTAGAATATTGATGAGCTAGAATATTGATAAGTTATAGCTAAATTTCATGATGTATCGTCTTATAAAAAATTGAGTTGTGTTAGTGGAAGTTCTTAATAGAAATGTGGAATGAAATTACTTCTGTTGAGGTATACAACAATAGAATAAATATCTACAAATCGAGCAACCGAGGCCTTAGACGATTCTGGCATACCACATATGTTAGAACATTGCATTTTCTCAGGGTGTGGACTTTATAATGGAAGAGGTCTCCTAGACATTGCTTGCAATCTCAGTTTGTTTTAATATTAAAAATATTCATGGATGTTAAAAATATTCTAAAAAAATGTTTAATTTAAAATTTTTATTTTTGAAGACTTTGTTGTTGATACAAATGCTACAACTTCTCAAGATAGCACGTCATATTATTTTGATTGCTCCAACTTGAAAGGATTTCTAAATGCTTTTAATTTATTTTTTGAACATCTAATGTTACAGAGGCTTGAGGTTTTTATTATCAATATTTAATATGTCATAATCTTTTATATCCTTTCATATTATTAATGTCGGAATGGTCAATATAAATTTTAAATATAGTTTATTATAAGTAACTATAGATAAATTTTACTTAGGAAAAATAAATTTAAAAAAAATTTATTAATTAAATAATTGACATTATAAAAATTATTAAGCAAACTGACTAGTGAAATAAATAAATAATGAAATAATTTAGTTTAACAATTACAAAACAGAAGTGCATTCCATAGATGGCGAAGGAATCGATATTGGAGTGTTATATAGTGAAATGACAGGAGTAGAGAGAAATGTAAATAGAATTCTCAACAATACAACTAAAAAATTATTATATGGCGGAAATTCAATTTACTCCTACAATACTGGAGGTTTAATGTCTGAAATACGACGTGGATGTAATTTGGAAAAGATTATCAGCTTCCATAAACGATTCTACCATTTAGATAATCTTGTAGGATTTTTTTATAAATTAATATAATTAATGATTATTATTTTTTAAAAATATTGAGGTTTTCTATGGAGTCAAAGAATCCTCACAATCAGAATCCCCACTATAATAAATCGAATTTTAAAACTAGCAAATTTTGGGTTATAAATTTTCTAATAAAAATATTCTAAAAAATATAACAATATATAAAAATATAACGATAGTTTTTTATTCTTTATAAATAATTTAAATTTCTAATTTTTTTAATTTCTAAAATTAAACTTTAAAGTTTGTTATTATCTCTGGAGATATGGATTCTGAGATGATTCTTGAGAATATATCTATGGTTGAAAAAAAATTTATTAACCATAAGCCGCATAACTTCAAGAGAACAGTACCTACTATGCAACATTTAAATCAAGAAATAACAACTTTTGTTGATGCCCTTGCGATGACTCAAGATTAGGTACAATTTAATTATAAAATAGACCCCAGAAGTATTGTCTTGGTATAAAAGCGGATGTTAGGCATTATAAACTTGATTTAAGAAGATTCCGCCCTTATTTGTCTTTAATATAAAACTTATTATTTACAGGGTCAGTCAGAATGGCTTGGCTGCCCCTTTCTTATCCAAATGAAAATAAACCCAACAGAATGACTTCTATTCAAATCTTGACAGAATATCTTGAGGAGAATGTCATTGATCCTAATTTCATTTTTGAAAACCTCGCAACAAAAGCTTATTTCGAAATAATTGAAATGAGGTCACCATCATTGTATCTAACCTTCGAAGGAGTTCCATCATTAGCTACTGAGTACTACATGATGCCCAGATGGAATGCGCCCGGTCCGCAGGATCAAAATAAATTTGAAGATGTAAAAAAGAGGATTTTTTAAAGATTTTTTTAATAAAAATATTCGGAAAAATATAACAATATATAAAGATATAACGATAGTTTTTTATTCCTTAGGAGGGATTTAAATTTCTAAATTTTTAAAACTTATAAAAAAGACTATTGGACTATTGTCTTAAACTTTATATATCTCATAACTTTTTTCGGTAATATTGAACCGGACAGAAGCCCTTTCTCCCCAATTTTCCCCCTATATTTTTGCAAAATGGTCAGACTTTTTCCTTTCTTCATTCCATCCAAATCGCCTTTCGAATTTTTGTGTACAATCAGACAAAACGATTATTTAATTTTATACAAATGCAATTACATGCCAAAAACTAGTAGACGGAGGAAAATTATAGAGGGAAAATTGGGGAGGAAAAAAGGGATTCCGTCCGGTTCAATATTGCCTAGTTTTCCAAGTAAATGTAAAAAGATATTTTTTATATTAAAATTAAATTTTTTATATAAATAATTTTTATGAATGATTTAATGTTTATTTTAATGTCAATTATCTCAAAACTAGCACCACGATTAAATTTTCATAAAATAAATAAATCTAGTGAAAACTTTATTGAGCCTTCTTTTCTGATTTTTTGTCAGTACCACCAAGAACTTTTTTCCTTTGAACAAACATATAGCTTGAAAAAATTAAAATTTAAGATTATATAAGTAAAAGGACGTTTTGGTGGCATCGATTTATTGTCAACTAAGTCAGAAACGGGTAAACCCTAATGTACCGCCCGACCAAGTTACCGCTGATATTTTTTCAAAAGGGGGGAAGCAACGGGATAAGTTTTTCCAACAGCGGGGGAGGATGCGGGGACGGGGAATTTGTTCCGACAACGGCAAAGAGTGTGCAAGAACGGGGGAAGTTGTTCGTAGACCAGGAAAGTTAGTTAAAATAACGGGAATTTTCAAGAAGTCTTCTAAAGTCGTTCCATATCACCCTTTTTCAACATCATATGTGGGCTAATTAAAGAAATTTTTTGATTTTGAGCCTGCGGTAACTTGGGCTGCGGTACCTTCTAGAGCCTTCAATAACTTCCCAAAACTCCAAACCAAGATTAACCACAAACCCAGGACCGAAAAAACCGAAGATAAGTCTTATCAAGTCGCACCTCGCTTGTGACATCCCAATTATACAACTTCTAAAATGGTAGTCTAGGTTTAGCCCCATGACCTCTCAAACCTAAGATTTTGACTTCTGACACCAAAACGACACTTTCCAAAATTTTTTTAAAAATTTCCCTCACCCATACAACTGTGGAAACAACGGAATATAAGTCAAAGCCAACAAGATAACTGCCCAATAAAAATGGAAAGCAAAATTGGCAACATTTGGCATTTCTATTGTAAAGTGTTTGCGTTCACCAATTTCTGGTAAAGCTGCAAACATGGTTAATAATTCACCTCCAGCACCCAAAGGGTAAAGCAAGATGAAGAATGTATAGCTTTAAAAATTAATTAATTTTAAATTTAGTTAGCCACTAGAGAGGATGGAAATTAGAAATACAGGTTCTTTTCGGTTCTGCCACACCCATCCCATATATTCGCAGGTTATACTTTATTTTTTTCCTTCATGCGTACAGAATGGTCAGACTTCCTATTTTCTAGGGAAATTTGATTGAAGGGAAAACTGAGTAAAAAAATAATCTTTTCTTTATTAATGCCTCTAATTGAACATGCCAAAGGGAGAATTGAGTGAATTGAATAAAGGAAAAATTTACATATGGAGGAAAAATATAAAATATAACCTGCGAATATATGCCAGGGGTGTGGCAGAACCGAAAAGTACCGAAATACACATACTAAAATTGTATTCCGATAAAAGGTAACCCACCCCCCACTCCACACAATAATAATAACTCGGACCAATTGTTTAACTTTGGAATATCCACAAGTCATCAAAAATCTCTAAAGCCCGTCTCAACCTCGAGGTAATAGTCAAATTTTGACCATAACTTTATTTGTTATTAACCTACCGTAAATCCTCTAAAAGCCCCCCCCCCCCAAAAATAAGCCCCCCCCCCCCCCCAAAAATAAGCCCCCTCTAGAGGTCGATCAAAAAAATAAGCCCCGGGGTTTATTTTAGAGGATTTACGGTATTTAATAATTATATCCATAAAATTCTCGATGATTTAATTATTTTATCTAGCAGAATTAATTTGATCAGAACCTTCCGATAGAAGTTATAACCGGATGAATGTGCGCAATCGTGATTTCTGACATTTATCCGTCTGTAACTTTTTGTAGACTGATCTGATCAAATCAATCCTGTTATATAAAATAATCCACACATACATAGCTTTCGATTGATATAAAAATTACTCAAATCGGTTAAGAATCAAGAAAGTTATGGCCCAAAATAAAGCCTTAGATTGAGATGTCTACTGCTCAAAAATGGGCAGTATATAAACTTTTATAATTTTTTAAAAATTTACCGCATCCAAATAAGAAAACTTGGAACAGCATTAATCAAATTCAAAGCATAAAACGAATATCGAATGACTTCAGTAATCGACCACGCAATTAACAACATTGGAACACCAATACTAACGCGAGACTGGGGTAAAAAAAATTTTTTGGAACTTGTTTACTTTAACTTCCCACCCCAAAAATTTTCAACTTGGACAATTTAAGAAAGAGTTTGTAAGAGTTTAGCCACCGGGCACCTGCGACCTCCTCGTAGTTATTGCTAGGCGCTTTCGCTCACCACGTATATAGGAGCGGTATCACCTTTTTAGATCGTTTACCTCCCGCCTAAGCGTTTTAAATGCTGCTGGGTGAATCATCCTTACATCTCCATCCCTGCATCAGACCGGACCCTCAATCAAGCGTCATGACCGTGGATGGCTGGTTCACCCAGCAGCAAGTAGGGTTCCCTGTTAGCGGCACCAGAAAGTATTTGCAAAAGTTTAGCCACCGGGCAGGATGGAACCTGCGACCTCCTCGTCGTTATTGCTAGGTGTTTCGCTCACCACATATAGGAGCTCCAGCACTGAGCTACCTGGGCATCGACTAATGCTTTTTCTTTTATTCTTTTAGATTGCTTAACCCCCGCCTAAGCGTTTTAAATGCTCTATGTGAATTATCCTTACTTTTATATGCCTATCGATTCAGCCCAACGAGATTTATCAATGACATCAAAATCTGCCCTCGCTCTCAAGTCTCAGCCCAGACTAGGGGACTCAAAATGGTCAAAGCAAATCCGCGTGCGTAAGCGATGGGCGTCAGCGTTGCTCGTAATTTTATTCAAAATCATCGCTTAATTTTGATGTCATTGGATTCAGCTCGGTGAGCTCTTCCGATAAACATATAAATCTTGGGGTGGGTAGTTAAAAGTAAACAAGTTCCAAATTTTTTTTAAATTTTTTCAAATTTTTTTAATTACCGAGGCCACTTTGTAAAGAATCAACCAAACAACAGTAACACGAGAAAAGACCTTTTGTGGTGAAAAAAAAATTTTTTTTAATTGCAAAAAAATTCTTTTTTACTTGTGTAGTGGTTGTACCAACAGGGGATCGAACAAGGCGAAAAATACAATGAAAAATCTTAAGGTAAAAATTAGTTAGCTATAAATTTTGCTTAATAGTCGAGCCTCACTATGTCTAAAAATGAGGTTAAGTGTCCAAAAAATAAGGTTAAATTCGAATTTTTGGACTAGAATTATACCCTTTTGAGCCGTTTTGGCGCATGCTTGTTTTGGCGCGCGACTCGAAACTGACATTTAACCGAAAGCTAAATTCTTGGTAATTTTCTCAAAAGTTCTATAACATCCCTGACTAACATCTCTAAAAATTTCAGAATTTTATATCAAATATTTTTGGAGTTACAGTCAATAAACTTCGAAAAATAAGGAATTTCGAATGTTGTGACTTATAGGGGGTTTTTTTTGGCTGGACCGATTTGGACAAATGAGGTGTCATTCGAAAGAGCTCGTCGAGCTGAGTCGAACTAGGGGCGAGTGGAGTTGATCCGACAATCAGGGACCGAGATACAGACCCCTGAAGTTTGAAAAAGAGAAGGGGGGAGTAAGCTCATTTTGGGGTGAAAAATTCGAAAATGCAAATAATAGCTCATTCGACTCAGCTCGTCGAGCTGAGTCGAATGACACCAAAATCAGCTCGATATCTTGATTTTGAGCCAAGATAAACAGGTTAAAAATGGTCAACATAAACCTATGGAGCGTAGGCGAGGCGCTTGTGCGAAACCCCGCGCTTCGCGCGGGGTTTCGCGGCACGCGCCTCGCGGGGAGTCAACGGTCGCTGGGTCTGGGTCAGTAACATAAACCTATTCCTATCTCTCTTGCTCTGGGCGTATTTGGGGCCTCTGTAGCAGCAAAAACCTCAACAATGACCATAGGTAAGGAGCTAAAACAAACGATCATAACTTTGTCAAATCAAGTCGGTTCTCGGTGATTTTGGTGTCATTCGACTCAGCTCGACGAGCTGAGTCGAATAAGCTATTATTTGCATTTTCGAATTTTTCACCCCAAAATGAGCTTACTCCCCCCTTCTCTTTTTCAAAATTCAGGGGTCTGTATCTCGGTCCCTGATTGTCGGATCGACTCCACTCACCCCTAGTTCGACTCAGCTCGGCGAGCTCTTTCGAATGACACCTCATTTGTCCAAATCGGTCCAGCCAAAAAAAACCCCCTATAAGTCACAATACCCGGAATTTCTGAGTAGTTAATGGACATTTCCTGGCCATAATTTCTGAAATTCTGAAACCAAAAATTCTGAAATTTCAAAAATTCTGAAACCTGAAATTTTTGGAGAACTTAGTTGGAAATAAGAGAATTGCTATTGCAAAATTTGATCTTTATAGATAATCTATTAGTAACTGTTATACAGGCTCGCGCCAAAACAACCCCTACGGTAAGACGACCCCGCCATTAAGACGTCGTTAAGCAACGTTAAGCCGCCCTAGCTCCTAAACACCAAATTTGGAATAATGTACGTCAAATAGGGGGTGTATTTAATATTGAGTGTCTAAAAAATGAGGTTCGACCATATCACCCTCCTAAGAAAATCTTAAAGAAAATTTTTAATTAATTTTTATTAAACAAACTTCCAGAATAGCAGCAGTTTGAAATATTTTCAATTCCAACTCAACAGAATCATACAATTCTGGAAAAGTCAAATTGGACATTAAACCACGAACAGTTTTCAATAGAATAGAACCCCAACTTGAAGAAAGAAAAATTTTTTTGAAATTTTTTTAATTTTTTAAATTTACCCGAAAAATTGTAAAATATTGTAGGCGAGTAAATACAAATCTCCTGGCTTCATTTTTTATTTTTTTCTGAAGAAATAAGGGGAAAGAGTTGTTATTTAATTAATAAAATTTAGGCTATCCTTGAGTTTAGTAAAATTTTCAAAGTTTTGCTAAAAACAGAGACACGCCCAACTAGGCGCGAGGCCATAACGGCGCAAAGCCATAACCTGCTGGAAAATTTCTGGCCCTTATCAATTTTGGTATCAATCTCTTTAGCTCGATGAGAGGAATCGTTTAATACTAAATTTGCTAAGATTCGGAAATCTTGAAGCAAGTTATGGCTAAGCGCCGTTATGGCCGCGCGCCGGACTGTACCCCTAAAATTCGCTACTAAATGGCTTGCGATTAAATGGCCTTTTTATTTTGGGGGACGTTTCAGTGTCCAGTCTCGAGGCTCTATTTTAGGCCATAACTTTTTTGTTTCTTAATCGATTTGAATAATTTTTATAACATTCGAAAGCTCTGGATGTGAGGATTATTTTAGCTAACAGGATGAATTTGATCAGATCATCTACTAAAAGTTATGATTGGATAGGTGCGAGCAATCGTGATTTTTGATGTTTATTTGGCTGTAACTTTTTGTAGGATGATCTAATCAAATCAATCCTGTTGGCGAAAATAATCCTCACATCCAGGGCTTTCAATTGATATATTATTTATTTAAATCAATTAAGAATTGAAAAAGTTATGGCCCAAAATATACAAACGGCCGTTACACAAGTGTCCCCTACCCAGGAAAAGGGGGTCTGTCCGGTTCAATACTACCAAAATAATCCTCATATCCAAAGCTTTTAAATGATATAATACTTACATATATAAATCTTTATTAGTTTGTTTAGTTAAATAAGTCAAAAATCGCTCGGTCTAAGTTAATAATTTTGTTTCAACTGAACTTGAGAATTATTTTCCTGTGTTCCTTATCTTTTTTTGTTAGGTCAGACCATTTTTATCTTGCAGTTTATACTATAAGCTTTTCTTTTATCGATTTATATTTTTATAGTTTGCAAAAGCAAAAGAAAGTCCGCAAAATAGTCTGAAAGGAAAAGTCCGCAAACATAGTCCGCAAAAATCAGAAACGTCCGTAAAAGCAGAATCTGCAAAAATAGTCCGCAAACGTGAACTAACAAGGAAAGGTTGCGAGGTTTCCGACTTAAAAACGATCGAGACCGGGCTCATTTCGATCAAAAAACGGGCAAAAACGGCAACAAAATCCTTGCCATAAAAGGCACATTCTCTATCGATTGAGCCCTCTCGACTGTTTTTAGGTTGGACACCTCGCAACCTTTCCTTGTTAGCATTTTTTGGATTTTTTCTCATTATTTTCGCGGGGCATGTTGGGGATGTGTGGTTTTCAGTTTTTTGTCAACCTAGATTCCCCGCAAAATAGTCTGAAAAAAAAAGTCCGCAAAAATAGTCCGCAAATTCAAAATCAATTAAAAAAAGCCCGCAAAATCAGGGACACGCCCAATTAGGCGCGCGCCCATAACGGCGCAAAGCCATAACTTGCTGGAAAATTTCTGTACCTTATCAATTTTGGTACCAATCTCTTCAGCTCGATGAGAGGAATCGTTTAATACTAGATTTGCTAAGATTCGGAAATCTTGAAGCAAGTTATGGCTAAGCGCCTACTTGGCCTGCGCCTATTTGGGCTGTACCCGCAAAATCAAAAAAGGTCAGCAAAAGCCTTACGAGCGCATTTGCATTATTTTTTCCTTTTTCTAGTTTTAAAATGTTCTCTCCAACTTTTATTGTTCGACAGTCCCGTACAACTTTATTAGATTTTTGTCGTTTCAAGTCTGCTCTGACTCCCCATATTTTGCCTAAAACCAAATTGAACGACGAGGTTTAAATTTAAATTTCTCAAAATCAAATTAAAATTTAAAGGTTATTCTCTCCAAAAGCAACAATCGTTACACTGTGACTGCGCTGCCTGGTGATGGAATTGGACCTGAGGTTAAACGAAAAAATTTTTTTGTTAAAATTTTTGCGGATTTCGGTAAAATTCATGTTATCCCCTCTCCTCTCCTTTTTCCTTCCTCAAAGTGAGGGGGTTGATTTTGGTGACATTCGCCACAGATCGACGAGTTCTATAGCCTAGGACTTATAGCCTGAGACTTATTGCCCTTTTTTAATATTTTGAGGAAAGAAAATGGGGGGGGGGGGGCGAACTTGAATTTTTGCGGACTCTTTATTTCGTAATGAGTTAAATGGTTATTGGATTCGGGGTTGTCTTTTTTCGATTCCAAGACACTCTGGCTTCTAAGAACTCTTCTTGGGTCTTGGGTTCAAGAATAGTCCACAAATCTATAGACAATTTTTGCAGATAAATAGAATGTCCGCAATATTGAAAAAAGTCCGCAAGTGGGGAAATCTGCAGAAATTATCTCAAAATTGGCTTCATTTTATAAAGGGTTAAATGGGTATCAGATTTGGGGGATCTATCGGTTCTGGAAACCGTTCGGAGTTCTTGAACCCTTCTAATTTCATGGTCTAAAGAATAGTCCGCATTTATAATAGTCCGCAAAAAAAAAGTCCGTTCCAAAAATAGTCCGCAAATCCGTAGAGGGAGGGGAAATCTGTAAAAATGTCATAGGGAACAGTGATTGTGGACTCAGTAGCCCGATCTTAACCCTTAACCCGCTCCTATAGTCCGCAAAATTATATTTTTTGCGGACAATTTTTGCGGACTATCCTAACCCTTAACCCTCTCCTACTTTTTCTCAACCCGTAACATCCCTGAAGTCCGCAAAATTTGTCCGCAAAACATTCCTTTTCAATAACTTTTCTCTTTAAGATGCTTGCTCATGTTAAACGTATATTTTCTTCTTCAAACATTCCTGTTGATTTTAATGATGTTGAATTAAATTCGAAAGACCCATTGGATGAGGAATTGGAAAAAGTGGTTAATGCGATACATAAAACTGGAGCGGCTTTGAAGGTTTTTTTTCTGTATTTTTAGAAAGACGGGGCTGAATTGGTTACCTTACTGGGTTCTTATCGATTAACCTGATAAGTCCGCAAGTTCTGTCCGCAAGTTTATGTTCTTTTATTTTTAATAAATTGGGAAGCGTGGACTAATATTAATCCGCAAAGTTTGTCCGCAAGTCAACAGTCTTCTCTTTTTAACCAAATCAGAAAGATTGCGGACGCAGAGTTCGTGAGTTTTTTGCAATAAGTATAATGAAAATCGTTTTAGATAATTTAAAAACTTGCGGATCAAACTTGAAGACTTTGGAAAGGAAAATGTATCCAAACCTCACTTTATAGATACTCCGCATTCCGTCCCCAAAGTTTGAATTTGACACTGAAAATTCCTTCACCCTTCCCCCTCTTGGCGGTGTCTCTGAAAAATTTCACCGACATTTTTTCTTGGTCCCCTCCTTCCCCTACTGGGAACTACGGATCGAGATTTTTGAAAGCCGAGTCCTGTTCCTGGGTTTCAGGTTTGATTTATTGACCTGGGGTCTTAGGCCTAAATCCAGGAAAAATCAGGCATTGATCCTGGCCCACCCATTCCCCTACTGGGAATGCCTTTATAAGCTATTTCCTCATTCAAACGAGTATTACACTTAAGTGAGGTCCTTTTGTATTAAATTCTTATCCACTCTAAATTTTCAGGGAAATATTGAAACAAAATTTGACAATCCAGATTTTAAATCGAGAAATATGGAACTTCGTCGTCGTCTTGATTTGTAAGAAAAAAAAATTTTTTTCAAAATTTCAAAAATTTTTTTTAAAAGATATGCCAATGTTCTTCATTGTGTTTCTGTCCCAACCATTCATTCTCGTCATAAAGATCTTGATTTGGTTTTGATTAGAGAAAATACTGAAGGGGAATATAGTGGACTTGAACATGAATCGGTGAATGGAATTGTTGAGAGTTTGAAGGTTTTTTTTTGAATTTTTGGGGGTTGGAGGGTTTTAAAGGGGTTTTGGGACCTTTAAGGGGGATTTGGGGCCTTTTTTTTGGGTCTTTTGGTCGAACTTTTCGATTTTAGGGCTCCCAATTTTTATTTTTTTCCCGATTTTTCCCTCCGGTACGTGTTGACTCCCTTCGATTTTGACTTTTATTCTTTCATGAGTTTGGTAGGTTTTGGGGGGGGGGGGGTAGGTCTAAATCTAATAGCCATCTAATGGTGACAGTTCTACCATGGACTGTCACCATTAGATGGCTTGTTGGTCGTTTCTTTTGCTTTCCTGCTATTTGGGGAGGGCTGAAATTTCCTTCAGATCGTGTCCTGTGACGGAAAATTTTTTTGTTAACAGCTTTTGGGTAACCTTATCTATTTTTTGCCGTGAATCCTCTGACATGCCAACAGAGCTATCAATAATTCGACTTGTGATTCCGGGCCCAGTTTTTTTTCTAACCCTGGCAATGTTACAAAATCCAAAAGTTACCGTTAACATGAGACGGATTGATCGATGTTTGATACACAAAACTCGGACTTTTTTCGACCTAAACCCCGATCCGAAAAATAATTTGAAAAATCGGGTCTGAACCCTGGCGTAACTTTTTCCCATTCCTGATTAAAAAAGAGGGGAACCCTTGTGGGACAAAATGTCACCTCTTTAAAATTTCCTTTTTTTTCTTAAATTTAAAGATTGTGACACGCCACGGAATTGAAAGAATCGCTCGTTATGCCTATAATTATGCTGTTTTGAATAATCGACCAAATATTATCGTTATACACAAGGCAAACATTCAAAAATTGGGGGACGGTTTATTTCTGAAAGTGGCTAAAGAAATTTGTGATACTGAATATAAATCGAAAGGATTGCGTTTTGATTCGCTTATAGGTTTTTTTTAAATTTTGGAATTTATTTTCCCCTCTTTTTTTTTTATTTCTTCCAAATTTCCGTCCGTGCCTTTGAAAAATAATTGTTTCAGTATTTTGGGGCAGGAAACTAGGAAGGGGCCGGGTTGAAGAAAAAGTCGAATTTTCGGATCGAAAAGTTCGGGTTGCACTTACCAGGGCTGGGCGAAATCTAAAAATAAAATGCGGAATACGAAACTTTTCGCGCTGAAAAATGTGAAATATGCGAAAACAGCCCGGCCCTGGTATTTACCCATCCCTCATTGCCTTGTGATCATTCCTACTTTTTTGATTACTAGCTACGAATAATTTTTTGATGGTAATGGGTTAGAAAAATTTTTTCTCAATTAAAAAAATTTTTTCAATCTTTTATTATGTCATGTTAGTAATCTTTTTATTGATTTACCTGATCGGGACGTATTTTCCAGGTTCCAGACCCAAATCCTGATTTTTTTTCATAATCTCTGAATTATACCCAGAGCCTGGGTCAATTAAGAAAAATAGGGCCGGGGCTTGTTCGATTCTAGTTACAAATCAGATTGTCACTTGAATAGCTTTGAATTATTTCTTTTGTCGGATTTACGATTAAATTTCGTTTTAGAAAGGAAAAAAATTTTTTGGGAAAAATTAAAAGAGGAGACCCATAAAGTTCAAACTTTCCAATTTCCTTTAAAAATTAAAATTAATTTTTCTTTTCAGTCGATAATGCTTGTATGCAATTGGTTAGTCGTCCACAACAATTTAATAACGCAATTTTACTTATGCCTAATTTATATGGAAATATAATTTCAAATATTGCCTGTGGATTGGTAGGAGGTCCTGGACTTGTTCCTGGAATGAATATTGGAGAAGAATATGCTGTGTTTGAAACGGTTTGGGAAAAAATTAATTTTTTTTTAAATTCTTTTGGGGAGAGGGTGTTTATAATTCGGAGGGTTTTAATGAGTTTTGTGTCTTCCAGGCTTCACCCTTGTGAATTTTTGGAAGGCCAAGAAATCAAAAATATTCCTTTTATGGAAGTATTTTTATGGAGTATATCGAGGTTTCGGATTCGGTTTTCGAAAAAAATTTTTGGTTTGAAAAAAAGTTTAATATTTTCAAGCGACTTTTCCCTGGCTGGAAGCTTTGCCTTTAGCTGAAAAATTTTTTGTTGATTCACAGGCTTTATATTTGTGGATTTTATAATTCTATTCAGTTATTTTTGGTTATTCAGTTTCTGTGGACATTTTGTTGGGAATATTCTTTCTTTATATTTTTTCTCGATTTGCCTTTAGCATTCAACCAAACATTAAGAATCAGTTGAATGTAAGGGATGTCGAGTTTCGGGTTCACTTAAATCTTTAGTTAACCTAAACCGGAAAATTTTTTCGTTAATCGACGAGGTACCAAACGAGATACCAAAGGAAAACCAGGAAATAATAATGAAAAGTCCGCAAAAACCGTCCGCATTTTTTTTATCCGCAAAAAGCATCCTCCTAAATATCTTCTCATTTTTGCTTAAATTTTAAAATTATTTCTTTTACAAAATTTAGGGAACTAGAAATACAGGCACCTCGTTAACTGGAAAAGATTTGGCTAATCCAACAGCTTTTATTCGTGCAGCAATTGATATGCTTCGTTATTTGGGGGTTTAATTTTTTTTAATTTTATTTTTTATTTATTAAAAAAAATTTTTTTTTAAGTTGGATAGTTATGCCGATAAAATGTCTGATGCTCTTTTTATTGCTCTAACTGAACGGAAATTACATACGCCGGATATTGGCGTTTGTTATTTTTTTTAATTTTTTCTATAGGGCTAAATTTCCGGGGTCTCAGTTATTTTTTCCGCAAGTTTTCCGCAAAAAGTCCGCAAGTTTGTTTTTTATCCGCAAGTCTTTTTTTCGTCCGCAAGTCTGATTTTTTGTCCGCAAGTCTAATTTTTTTCCCCAAGTTTATTTTTTTTATTTTTTGAAAATATTCTCAAGAATTTGTTTATTTTGTATCTCTAAAATAAATTTTTTTGAGGAATCAAAAAATTTTTTGATTTCCGAATAGTAAAAAATTTTTCACTTTTCTGTCCGTTGTCGAATAGTAGTTTTCGAAAAAAAATTTTTTTCGCTGATTTATAGAATCCAAACATGTGATAATAAGCCACGCCGGTTATTTAATTTTGTGGTACAGCTCACGTAGGCGCAAAGCAATTTTTAGACCAAAATTTGTGTTTTCGGCCTACGCAAAATTATACGTCCACTTTTCTAAAAAGTCTTCAAAGTTTCCGAATCTTAACAAATTTTGTATTACATGGCCGCGCGCCTGCTTGGGCTGTACCCCAAAATTTTGTTCAAATTTTATTAAAAATTTTTTCTTGTTCCTTTCTTATATTTTTTTTTCTCATTTATAATTCATATTTATTATTATAGGGTACATGTCACAGTACAGACATTGTTGATGCTGTTATTGATTTGATGCAGAAATAAGGTGGTATTTTTTTTAAAGTTAGTTTTGAATTGTTAGGCTTTTTTCCTCTCTAATTAAAAAATTAATTTCTAAAAAAAGAGCTTTTTTTTAAAATACAACCATTCTTATAAATTAATTTTTTTAAATTTATTTTTTTGAGCTCTTAAACTTGTAAATTCTAGGAAACTTTAAAAATTCGAATTAATTTAAGTAACGATTGTATTTTTTAAAAATTAGGTAGGTAAATCCTTCTCCTTTTTGACTCATTATTTTTTCTTTTTCGTCTTGAAATTTATTTTCTAAAATTTTTCTTGACCAGGGTTGTCGGGTTCAACTACTTTTCAATATTTCGGGAAACGGGGACCGATTTCACAAAGAACGAGGGCTTCTCGGAAAGGACGGACGAAGGAACCTATGAAAGTTTACTCTTGGATCAAGGCGAATTCCTCCCCCTCCAGAGGGAGATCGGCCCCATAGTTTCAACCCGAACTTAAAAATCCCAATGGAACTGAACCATCAAAAAATTTTCTGGTTAATTTTTTTACTTAATTTTTCAATTAATTTGGTAAACCCGACAACCCTCTATCCTTGTGCATTTATTCTTCTCTATGTATTTTGGTCTGGATTAATTTTCTGAATTAATTTCTTAAAATTATTTTTTAAATCAAATTTATTTTAGAATTTTCAAAGAAAAAATTTTTTTCCGAAAATTTTTATTAAATTGAAAAATTATTCCAAGTTCCAGGCCACTTCAAAATTATTATTTTTTCTTTCTTAATCTTCCCTAAATCAGGTGTTAATTAAATAATAATTAAAATCACCGGTTATTTTTTGCTTTTAAAAATGATCTGATTTTTTAAATTTTTCTTTGTTGAGCTTCTCCTTTCCACGAATAAAATTTTGCTAATTTTTGTTATTTTTAATGCATTTATTTTTATTGCTCAATACAGTCGAACCTCGATAAAGGATACACCTCTATTTCAAGATACACCTTTTGAAATTTATTTGGCTAGTTAATAGGTGTGGGTGTGCCAATAAATTCAGCTTAAAGGGTACCCCTTCTAGCTAAAAATGACCCCAGTTTATGATATTAAGAGGAGGGGGGGGGTGGGGGGTGAGACCAAGCGATTACCCTCATTTTAATTTTTTTTTTGCCCAAAGAGGTAATTAAAATTGAAGTCTTCGATATTAGATACACCCCAATTTAACAAACAATTTTGATGACCACTTTATTTTGAGGAAGAGGCCTCTCTCCCCACCAAGTCACTCTAAAGTCCTCCATTTTAAGTGTGCTGGTTAGATATGTTTAGGCCTTACTCATACTCCCCACTCCCTTCCTTCCATTTTAAAAGTCCCCTTCATTATAAAATGTATTTTCTGCCCAAAGGGGGTACTTATAACGAGGTTCGACTGGACATACATTTAAATTCTCTTTTTCTAAATTTTCCTTTTAAAATTAATTTTTTTAACAAAAAATGGAAATTAATGATGAATCAAAATCCTCATCATCTTCCACTAAAACCAGTCAACAACCCAAAAAACCGTTTACTTTAAAACGATGGAATTTAATAGCTACATGGGCATGGGATGTTGAATGTGACACTTGTGCAATTTGTCGAGTTCATTTAATGGGTAATTTATAAGTGAGGTACTAACGCATTATTGGTAGGGTTGGGGGCCCGGTTCTGTTTGAATTTTGGCCCGGAAATGACTCCAACGTGCCGAAAGCTTCAACCTTAATTAGGTCGCACACACATCCATGTCGAAGGTTGCGACTGGCCCATTTTTTTAATTTTTTTACGAGCGTTAGGACGCCGCTTCGCGGCGTCCTAACGCTCGTATTATACGTTTTGATGTTCTTTTATGTTCTAAAACCTTGATCCTTGGGCCCTTAGATTTAACCTTCGATTATACCATCATACTAATCTCAAATCCCCTAATATATCAATTAATCTCTCAATCCCCAAAATCCATGATATTACCCTTTGTTATCAATGTCCTCCGTTAATCATCTCCAAAATCAATATATTACCATTGATCACCCAAAATCCTCTGAAATACCTTTTGTTCTCCCATTCACCAAACCAAGGGAATAGCTCCTTATTTTCCCAAATTCCCGATATCACCTTTCATCCCCAACATTCTCTGATATACTCCTTAGTCACTCCCAATCGTCAGGTTTCTCCTATACCACACCGAATTTCCCAAAATCACCATAACCTCTTTACTTCTCGAAGTCTCTATATCTCACTTTTTCCCCAACTTGCTATAACCCTTAATCTATCTCAATTTCTCCAATTTCATTAATCCCCTTATATCCCTGTTTTTTACCCGAAATAACAATGTCGTTTGAACCCACAGACATAACTTCATATCACTCATTACCTCCCAAACATCCGATAACATTTTTTATTCCCCAACCCCTAAATTTCTCAAGACTCAGATATAGATTTTTCCCAAAATTTCATCTATTACCCTTAACACACAAAACTACTTTATATCTCTCTTTGGTTTTCTTAATCCTCTGTTATCGCCTTTTAACCCCCTAAACACCCGATTTAACTTTTATTAATCCATAGGTATTATCTTACAAATCGCTAAATCATTCTTAATCCGACCAAATCCTGGATCTCCCTATTGATTTCCAAATCCCTCGTTGTCTGTTCTTGCCTTCTTTAAAAGTATTGAAAAAACTTATTGTGGTTGTTAGTGACCTGCCGGCTTTACACTCTGTCTCTTCTTATGCTTTTCCCTGATCTTGTTTTCTTTCCCTTTCGTCAGGTCTCCTTTTCTCGCAAATTCAGGAGGCTCCGGTACAAAATATGGAATCGTTAAAATATGGAATGGTTAAAATCGCGAATAGGCTAAAAAGGGGTTAAAATACCGAATCGTTAAAATATGGAATGGTTAAAATATCGAATCGGGTAAAAAAGGGTTAAAATATGGAATCGTCAAAATATCGAATTGATAAAATGTCGACACGGCCAAAATGGGTCAAAATGTCGAATTCTTTTAAAAAAGGGTCAGATTTGTGCCATACGTTGATTGTTGATAATTTTATCAACTTATCAGCTTATTGATGATAAGTTGATTGATAAGTTTGGTAAGTCGTAGTCCGTCGTAATCTTTTCTGTCTGAGTTCACTATACTTTACCGAGTAAAACCGGACCGGATAAATCAAGCATAATCGACCGGATCCGGTCCGGCATGATCGTACGGATCCGGAAAACATAACGCGATCCTGATATGGAAAAATTAAAGTGGTATGCATTAGTTTCTAGTTAAGACCTAAAGTTTGACCTTACCGTATACGGTATGGAATACCGAAATACCGATCAGCTTTTAAATTTTATCGGTCGGCATTCCGTACCGTACAACCGACACGGAATACCGAAAAATACCGTCGGTATTACGGTAACGCCCGGATTCAAGGTTTTGGCGCATCTTTAAAAAAATTCGACATTTTGACCTATTTTGGCCGTGTCGACGTTTTATCAATTCGATATTTTAACGATACGGTATTTTAACCCCTTTTTAGCCTATTCGCGATTTTAACCATTCCATATTTTAACGATTCCACATTTTAACCCCTTTATAGCCTATTCGCGATTTTAACCCATTTTTACCCGATTCGAGATTTTAACCCTTTTTTAGCCTATTCCATTAACGATTCGATATTTTGTCCGGACACGATTCAGGAGTGTCTTTCACTTAAACTGTTATTTTTTTCACTTTTTCTTTTTCTAAATCCACGATATTTTCAACAACTCAAATTCCTGAAGCACATTATAGAGCACGTTCTCTGTTTTAACTTTTTTCCCTCAAATATTCGTCATAAACCTTTTCCAATTGAAAACATCTTTTTACTCCAAATAACGCATATCACTTTTAATCAAATCGCAATCTTGATCTACCTTCTTTTGAGCTGACACTGATCCTTTTCTCACCCTTTTATGTGACTGTTCTCTTTCTCTTTACCTACCTGTTTTCTCGTCCAGAAACGAAACTGATCTACGTTTGTGTGATCTAACAACAGAACACTCCTGTGCTGTATTATTTCTACATTTACCTGATCTCTACCACCCTTTTCCGTCTTAATCTGCTATTATTCTTTTTTCATCGAAGAACCTTCTTAATACTACTTTTTGACCTTAAATACTCGGGCAAATTGCTCTAACCCTTTAATTCGTGTTTTATTTTTTGCCTGTGTACTTTATCGAATTTTGTTCTCCAGAAAAGAATCATCCCTTTTTTCCCAAAATCACCCATTATTCCTTTTTTTCACTTTAAATACACGTCATCACATTAAAATTATATCCTCTTTATCTCTCATATATCCCGATATCCATTTCAACTCAAAATCCCAGATATCCTCCACGCTTTATTTCTTTAAACTGAATTTCTGTCTTTTTACATCAAATCGCTTGTTAATCTTTTTATCCCCATCTCTTATTTTCTAAATTTATTTATTCTAAAAATTCCATAAAACCTCAAAATTCTTCTTAAACACTTAAAAATCGCCATATTTCACATAATCTCTCCCTTCTCTCGGCATTAAAATCCTCTATATTTATCTTTTTTTATCTTAATTCACCGCTAACGCTTGTAAACCCATCAAACCTCACGATATCCTTTCTTTTTTTGTTATCTCTTCTAATCCTCCAATATCTTCATTTATCACGTTTTCACCTCTTGATGCTCTGATATTTTCCCATATCACTCTCAAATCGCCGATATTTTCTTTTGTCGACTCTGTTGTCATCATCCTCAAACATACATTTTAAACTGCTTCAAACTTCAGCTTACTCTTGTTCTGTCCAGAACCCTATATCACTTTTAATCGCCCCCGAAATCTCAGATATCCCTTTTTAACTACTTAATACTATTATTAATACTCTGTTACCACTCCTGCATATTAATCCTCAAAATTATCATTTTCACCCTTAATCCATTTTATATTCTTGTTTTCTTTTATCAAACAAAACAATTAAATATTGCTAATCCCCCAAAACCTTCACAAATCTCTTAGTTTCTCTACAAAACCATCACATCATAATAATCCTCTTTTTTTTAAAAATCTATGTGTCATGTCTCCAAAGTCCTTAATTTGCCTACTGTTGATCCCTTCAAATTCTTTATCTATGTTAAATCCCCAAACCTTTAATGTTTCTTTTTAAAAAACATTGATTCTCTTTTAATTTCTCAAAACACTTAATATCTCTCTTAATTCATCAATCTTTTTACGCCCTTCACCAAATCCACGTTATACCGTCAAAACGCGGATTATATTTGATTATATCATTATTAATTGTATCAAATCTATTTTGCTGCAAATTTGATAAGCTTAGTTTTGTGAAAAACCCAGAATGTTTTCTCAGCAAGATCCTTGTGCTTCACGACGGCCGCCGCGAGCGAAGCGAGCGGCGGCCGCCGTCTCAGAAATTTTCATGTTCGAGTGTTTTTTAATTGTTTTTTTGTTTTCAGAACAAAAAATTGAAAATTCCTTTGGTCGTTCTGTCCTGATCTTTGCCTCTCATCAATGACGTACCTCTAACATTCTGGACCCTTTCCTCAACATTTTTTCCTGTGTTTCCGTTCTTTTATCCAATCTTAATCAGTCTCTCATACTTTTTTAGTCTTTGACAGACTAAATCATATGTATTTCCTTATTCAGTAAATTCAAAAATTTAGAATTTCTATTTTTTTCAAATCCAAATTACTAAATAAACAACATTTTTAACTTATGCAATATTTTTATCTTTCGTTTCAATTTAGTCTTTTGTATCTTTTACTCTGGTTAGACTTTTTGTTATTTAAAGCTAGTTAGGCCTTTTGTACATTTTAACTCTTTAGTCCTTTTGTGCTTTTTAAACCAGTTAGATCTTTTAAACTTTTAAATCTGTTTTGGTCTTTTGTAATATCTAAACTGATTAGATCTTTTGTAATATCTAAACTGATTAGGTCTTTTGTACTATCTAACTGATTAGGTCTTTTGTAGTATCTAACTGATTAGGTCTTTTGTACTATCTAACTGATTAGGTCTTTTGTACTATATAACTGATTAGGTCTTTTGTACTATATAAACTGATTAGGTCTTTTGTACCTTGTAGTTGTGTACCATTTTGTCAGTGCACTCGATGTTTACATTTAAAATTTTTAAAGAGACAAAGGAAAATCTTTTTCTCTTTCTTAGTATGTTATTTTCTTTTTTTCAACGCATTGTTATTGTTTACGACTTTAGAAAATTTTCGTTTCAATAAAAATTCTGTTTACACAATCAAAAAAATTTTCACGTGGACCATTAAATTAATATGGTTAATAAATCGGGCCGGACTTTTTTTCACTTGAATTCGAAACAGGTTTGGGCCCTGATGCGATAGTACAAAAATAAATTCAAAAATTTTTATAAAAAATATTTTTCCTTCAGAAGCCTGTCTTCGTTGCCAATCAGAATCTAAAGCACAAGAATGTGTTGTAATATGGGGAGAATGTAATCATTGTTTTCACTTATGTGGGTATTTTGGATTTCTAAAAATATTATATAATGGTGAAAATCTGTCAAAAAAATTTAAGAAAATTCTCAGAAAATTATCGAATATTTTTGAATTTTTAAAAAAAATTTTTCAAATTTTCATAATCATTCCTTTGAAGATTTTTAGAATTTTTTGTTCTTTAAACTATCAGTAAATTTTTTGATTTTTTTTTAGAATTTTTATTTTTTTTATGAAAAAAGGTATCTGAAAAAATTTTTCGAGATTTTTTTTTGAATTTTGCATTTTCTTCCTTTAAATTTCCAAAAAAAATATTTAAAAATTCCATAAAAATTCTTCCCATTTTTCTTGAAAATTCAAAAAAAAAAAATTTTTTTTAAAGGTTGTATGTCTCTTTGGGTGAAACAAAATAATCGTTGTCCTCTTTGCCAGGCCGAATGGAATGTTCAAAGAATTGGGAAATGAACAAAAAAAAAATTTTTTTTCAAAAATTTTAATCAAATTATTTTTTGGATTAAAATAATTGAAAAAAAAAATTTTTTTTAATTTTAATTTCGAATTATAACGATTTTATTATCGTTTATTTTACCTTTAAAATTTTTAAACTCACTCATTTACTATTAATTTTTTTACAAGAAACGTTTGATTGTACTCCTTTATTTTTTTTTTCGTTGGAAAGCAGATTTTTTGTGGTAAAAAATAATTTTTTAGCTTTAAAAATTATTTTTTTTTAATTTTTAGGATCGTTGATCTCTCCATTTGCATTATTTTTGATTTTATTTGGAATCTCTTTTTTTGGTAATAAAATTTTGGCTCTGATCCAGTTTATGCGTCCAATCGACTTTTATGCGTCCAATGAAAGTTTATGCGTCCAATAAAAAAATAATTGGATTTTTTTTAGTATTGCACAGTTGTGGTATGGTTCCAAAGCATTTCTTCATGTTCGGGACCTACGCCCACTGGGTCTTGGACAATTCCTTACCCTATTCCTCAAAATTTCGTAAAGTTATAATCGTTTTTCTGAAATTTTAAAAAATTGGCTATAACTTTAAAAAATTTCGAGAGGTCGGGTAATGAACGGTCCCAGAACCAGTGGACCTAGGTCCCGAACACGAAGAAATGTTGTGGTACCATACCTCAACTTTGCAATACTAAGAAAAACCAAATTGTTTTTTGATTGGACGCATAAACTGGAGTAGAGCCAAAATTTTTTGGATTTTATAAAATTTCAATTCAATCAGTTTAGTGTCATCTACACGTTTTTTAAGTGCCAATATTTATATTTTGATTGGTAGTCTTCAAATTTATTTGTGAGTTTGACATTTGTTGATCAAATTAATATTTGATTTTTATGGTTCTTTTTTGAAATTCTTTCATTTATATTCTGATTTATTAAAATGGCACAGGTACATATTATTTAATCGAGGCGCCCTTTTGCCTCATTGACTTTCTCCGGCCTTTTTTCTTAATAACCCCTTTTGGCAATCCCGGAGAATTGGGGTCCCTGCGGAAAAAAATTAAAAAGAAGAAAAAGGATTTTTCTAGGGTAAAAAAATATGCTGATTACGAATCCGAGCTCAGATTTTGAAAAAGTCGAATCACGGACCCGAAATTCGGACATTTGACATGTTGGGAAAATTTTCACAGAGTGTAAATTGGTCAAATAATATCTCATTCGAAAGAGCTAGACGAGCTGAGTCGAATGACACCAAAATCACCGCAATCGATCAAGATTAGGCGAAGTTATGACACAAAAAACATAGGTTTACGTTGTTTGTTTTTTGTGTCATAACTACGTCCGATCTTGTTCAATCACGGTGGTTTTGATGTCATTCGACTCAGCTCGTCAAGCTCTTTCGATTGTGCTATTATTTTCATTTTCGAATTTTTCACCCCAGAATCAGCTTGGTCCCCCCTATGGTTTTTCGATTTTGTAAGACTTATATTCGGGTTTGGGATTCGACTTTTTCAAAATCTGAGCTCGGATTCGTAATCAGCATATTTTTTTACCCTAGAAAAATCCTTTTTCTTATTTTTAAGATTTTTTCCCGCAGGGACCCCAATTCTCCGGGATTGCGCCCCCCTTTTGATAATTTCTGAAAAAGAAGGCTTTTTTGCCAAGTATTTTCCCCCTTTTTTTTGAGAAGCCTTGCCGATTTATAGTGGTTTGGAAAGGGCGCCCTCTATTTAACTTGTTAAATTGCCAATTTTTCCATTTTAGACTGTTAAAGTCAAGACTAATTTCGAATATGATGCAGAAGTTGAATTGCCTACAGATAATGAAGGCAGCTTGCTTGTAGAAACCCTTACTCATGCAGGCTTTCCTGGAGTCGTCACTTTGATGTACGTTGATCCGGATAGTGGAAGAACTATTAGAATGCAGTAATCTTTTAAATTTAATTGATAATAGGGTTGTACCCCGTCACCGAAAGTCGGGAAATTTGAGAGATTTTTTGAAAATTCTCCGCCCCCCTGTAAAAAATAAAAAAATTTCCCCGTCTCCGCCCCGCCCCTCCCGTGGCGCTGCCTCCCCGAAAAATTTCCCCGTGGCCCCTCCCCCTCCGTCGAGGAACAACTCTAATTGCTAATATCTGATGCCTATTTAACTGAATATTATGCGGGCTACTGTAAATATATGCTTAAATAAGTACTAGGCTAATCATTTTTGTAACCTTACTTAAGAGGTAAAATGTGGGGAGATTAAACTAAATTATCTATTTTTAATGAGAGGTTTAAGTGATTGGGTGGGTAGGTAGCACTGAGGGAGTAAATATTGCTGAGGCTAATTATTTCAACCTATACGTTCATTTTACTTTAAAATTCATAAAATTTTTATTTAGTTTAACAATTTATTAAATTTTGAATTTTATCGATTTTTTAGGAAAGATCCAACAAACACAAAATTCATTCGGCCTACTCGTGGTTGGGAAAATATTGGTATGAAAAAATTTTCTTTTTGCTTTTAATTTAATTATATTTTAAGAGTTCGTTGTAAGTGAACGTCGTCATACACATGAAGTTTTGCGACCAAATGATGGTAACTTTGAAAAATTTGTCGTCTATTTAATATTTTTTCTAAAACTAATCGTTTTAATAAATATTTCAGGCAATGGATTAGGAGTTGATTTTCTGAGGCGTCATACTCAACCAACTATTTATGGTATCTTTATTTAAAATCACAGAAAATTTACTTAAAATCACAGGAAATGTTCATGAATTAGAACAACAGGCACAGGAGTTGGCACAGTTTAGACGTCGTAGTTCTCATGCAATTGGCTTTGGAAGTAATTATTAGAGATGTCCGAGACCGAAATTTTTCCAAGACTCAAGACCCAAGACAAAATTTTTTCCAAGACCAAGACACAAGACCAAGACCAAAACTCCAAGCTCAAGACCAAAAATCAAGACCAAATTTTTAAATCCCATAGGTCAAATTTTTGGTTTATTTTTTGTTATTTTGATACGATCACAGTCAACTTCAGCACAATTATCTATAATTTCGAAAAATTTATGCGAAATTCAAAGAATTTAGGGGAATTTATTCTGTGGAAAATCAATAAAATAGGTTATTATTTCAGAGGGTTTGGGTGGATTAACGGGATATTAGTGATATCAAAAGATTAAGAGGGATAGCCGTGGGATTTAGCGCCGCAGGCGAAAATTTTGAGGATTATGAAAGCAAAGAAGCCAAAAATCTTCCTTTTCCTGCGCCGCAGGCAAAAATTTTGAAAATTTTGGAAGGCCGTAGGCCAAAAAATTCACATTTTCAGCGCCGCAGGCGAAAATTTTTTGAATTTTGGAGCTCAAGAAGCCAGATTTCTTCCATTTTCTGCGCCGCAGGCGAAAATTTTGAGGATTTTGGATGGCCAAGCACTAGGTCCAAAAAGGCCAAAAAACCAAGACCAAAAAATAAAACCAAGACAAGACCAAGACAAACACCCCAAGACCAAGACCGAAAAAAAACCAAGAAAAGTCTTGGTTCCAAGACCAAGACCAAGAGTCTCGGACATCTCTAGTAATTATGGTATCTTTTAATTGTCGATTCCCTAGTCTTCTTAGAACTTAACTTTAAGTTTAGAAACTAGGGTTGTGCCAAACCGTTTAATTTTGAAAAACCGTATACCGTTTATCTGAGACCCGTATACCGCTCCGTTTAATTTTACCAAAAAACCGTTTACCGTTTAGCTAAACGGTTTGGCACAACCCTATTAGAAACTGTTAACACTACATTTCAAATGAATACCATCCCTATAATTTATTAAGAGGCAAATAATTTTTAATGTTTTTGGTACTATTTGATAGAGAATTAAAAATCTACAGGATATTAAAAATTAAATTTTCTTTGCTAATTGATGAAAAAGTTATGGTCTTAAAGCTTTCTTTTTAAAAAATGTCATTTTTAGGCACTATCAATTTTAACTTTTTTTTAACAGTCGGTCAATAATTTCGATTTTTTGGTATATTGTAGCGTATTTAATGCTCTATCAATACGTACACAGATATACCAACTCTTTATAAGTTATGTTAAGGTCAGATAAGTTGGGACTCAGTTTATGTGTATGTTCCAAGGGGGAGCAGGCCAAGGTACCGCAAGGCCAAAGTACCGCCGAGCCATAACTTTGTTCAAAATAGTCGAATCCGGGACGTCTTGGTATGATTCGATGCATCTCGACAGCGGAATCGAACCATACCAGGGCGTCCCGGATTCGACAATTTTGAACAAAGTTATAGCTCGGCGGTACTTTGGCCTTGCGGTACCTTGGGGTGTACCCGTACCAGGGATCCTGCCGACAGAAAAGAAAAATTCTGTTGTTTTTATTAAAACTGTTGTTTTAGTTATATGCATTTGGTCTATATGGGTTAATACATTCATATTTTTTGAGTAGGGGAAAAATTAAACCATTTGTTTAGTTTTTAGCTGTTTTGCTTTAATTTTGTTCCTTTAATATTTTAAGTTGATCAAATTGTTGAAGCTCGTTTGTCAAACGAAATGATGCGTTACAGAGTTGAACAGTTGGAAAGAGACTCAATTCATTCGCAAATTCGTGCTTTGCAACAAAATAATGCAACTCTTCTGACACAAATACAACAAACTAATGCAACTCTTCAGACACAAATTCAACAGGGTTCATCAAATTATACCGCTGTAAATTTTAAACTAAAATTTTATCATAAGATTATTTTTGGGGAAACGCGCATATGGTTTCCAATTAGAAATTAGAATATTTTTTACTGATAGCATTTTTGAATAATATAAGATTAAATTTTGATTGGTAACCATTTTAGAAAATCCCATTTTGATCCATGTGTACTTTTTTTGAGAAGGAGAATAATAGGGGAAATATCGGGAGAGAACACGGTACCGAATGATGTGCTTTTGTCTGCATCTAAAGTTTAAATAAGATATTTAAATTTTATACTTAAATTTTTATATTTAAATTTTACAGAATGCTGGTATTATTATTGCAGCTATTTCAGTAGTGGCAACTACTGTGTTCGGGTTAGGAGGTATTATATTAACTATTTATCTATCTAAGAAAAGTTAGATGTCTTTAGTTATGATTTGTTGAAATTTTAAAATGTTTTTGATGTTAAATATGTTTTTTGTTGGGCCTTACTTTAAAAGGATAATTTTTAGAAAAGTTTGAAAATTTAATATTTTTTGGTTATTTTTTTCGACCTAATTATTTGGGTTTTTCAGTTCCAAAATATCTTAATGCCATTTAAGCTTGGTATCAAATTTTCTAATTTTATTGTACTTGTATATCCCGTACCGATTTATCTGGACATTGCTATTATTATTCTGAATCCTCCGTCCTACTAAACCTAAAAATATCCTTTTCTTTAAAATAAGGCCTAATTTTATTTTTGTTTTGAGAGTGATATTGACTTTTGATTTTTGTTATACATTTGTTGCAGGTTATTTTTGTTTATCTCTCTCTCTCTCTCTCGGTTATAATCGTGCCTTTAAAATATCTCTCATTTTAATTTATAAAAAATTTCAATTTTCTTTAATTTATTTTTGAAAATCTCTCTCATTCAAGCTTGCCTATATTTTTAAATAAAAAATACTTGTTGTCTTTCATTAAGTTAAATTATGTTTAAAATTTATTCTCAACTATAACTGACTTCATTTATGATGTTTTATCTGTTGCACAATTTTTACATGTTTATTCCACAATTTCTGGGGCAATTACATATATCTGAAATCATTTTTAAAGCTGTCCAATACTGACAATTTTCCAAGATTCATGTCCATGTCCTGGATTGTTCTGTTATGGAGCAGTTCAACTGAGTCCCGGCCCTATAACTTAGCAAGAAACGGTCACTTTTTCATGTTCCTGGTATCATTTGATAGAGAATCAAAAGCTCTATAACATATCAAAAAATCAGAATTTTTGATCGATTGATAAAAAAGTTGTGATTTAAAAACTGACTTTTTCAAAAAAATCTGATTTTTCGGCACTTTATCGATCATAACTTTTCTACCAGTCGGTCAGGAATTTTGATTTTTTGGTATATGGTAGCCTATTTAATGCCCTATCCAATGGTACCAAGAGTAACAAAAAGTGACCATCCCGTCATAAGTTATAGGGTCCGGGACTCAATGGAGTCGGGACTCAATTGTGGTGTACCGGTTCTGTTATACTTGTTTTTTATTTTTATATATTACTGATAGAGTTGGGGGTTTCGAATCTGGCCGACGTTCGAGTCATTTTTTTTTCGGGCTTCATTTTTATTGGGCCGTCCGACAGAGTTTTTCGGACCAAAATTCGATGCTCGACTCGATCTTTCGGACCGGAACGGGCCTACAACCCTTATTACTGGGCTAGTTGGCCGAAAAAATTTTAAAGTTGAAAATCATAAAATTTTCAGAATTTCGGAAAACGTTTAACTTTCGACCCTTCTTCTTTCACATTATTTATCAAAACTGAATTGCCTTGAATATTTTAGATCTAATTATTTGATATGTCTTTCTTCAATATTTAAAATACAGTCAGATCTCACTCTAATTTATTCTACATGTTTTATGTCCCATTCAAAAACACAAAAATGTGTCGGGTATATAACTCAAAATTTCCATGATCAGTTGTCTTGGATTGTTCTATCATATATGTACAAATATTTGTTTTTTAGTTTATTATAGTGCCGATAGTTTTGTATAAATTAACATCTAAAAACCAAAATTTTCTTTACAAAAATCTTTTTCAAATTTTTTATTTTCGTTAATTTGTTCTGATTTTTTACTAGAGTTATCATTTCGGAACCGACCCGGACTGAAGAACCGAGGATTTTTCGGTTCGGGTTACAAAATAGTCAATTTCTTTATATCTATTTTTACGAAAATCTCTTTTTTATAAAATTTTACCTTTATTATATTGCGAAACAATTCCTTTAGCTTAAATCATTAGTTCTAGCCTTACAAAAATTTTCAAGTTCTCATATAATCCGATATTTAATTTCATGCCACTACTATAAAAAAGGATTTGTTCTAATTTTATAGTAAATTTGGTGAATGGAAAATGACCCGCAAATGCGAATATCCATCGTTTTTGTGTGTACCACTACTCTATTTATAATGCACCGTATTCTTATAATTTTTTTAATAAGGAACTCTATTCGCGAAAATACTGGACCATAGGTTCAAAAAGCGTAGCTGTGTACTTATCGACATAGTAGATGAATATGGATGTTATTCGAAAGATCTCGTGTGGGTTGTGTCTTTTACTACCTATAGGTTTTAACCGTTCCAAGCCCTATATCTCGGCTCAAACTTGTTCAACCACGGTATTCAGCTCGACGACTCTTTTGAATAACATATATTTTGAATAATTTATTAATACCCACCCCACACTATCTTAAACATTTTTAATTTGGGGTCACATAACAGGAAAGTACCTTTTTTTATCATAGCTTACAATTTAATATTTTCTAAAATAATATTTAATTTTTAATTACATTTAATTATTTTAAATTTAGTTTATTCTATTCTTTGGATATATTATCTTAAACAAAGCAATAACGGTTCGCAATAACAGCTAACAACAAATTTTAATTCGAATTGAAAATTAATAAGAAATGCCGAAGCTTTTCAAAAAAATTATAAATTTCATGTCTGTATATATTTGATAAAAGAATTTTTAATCTGTAATTACATTTGATTTTCACATTGATTTTATTATCAAATACCTTTAAATATTTTTTAATTTTCATTAAAACTAAATGCATAACAGGAGCCACTTTCATTTACTTCTTGGTAATATTGTGTTGCTTGTACAACTTCTGATAATTGATACTATGGAACAACAAGCAACCATTCGCTGGCGAGGCTCTCAGATAGTTCATTATGGTATAAATTATGGCATTTTTAAATATCGATTCTCAAGGTGTCACAGTTAGGATGCCTTTTTGGATTCGGCGCGCGCCAAGAGTGGGTTTTTCTCTTTGCCCAGAGCGACTAGCTCCTGTTAAAAGACAATGTGGTACTTTTCTGTTTTGTGACCGCACTTAAAAAATGTTTTAAAAGGGTCATGAATATGGACAAATTATATGTCATTCGGAAGATCTCCTTGAGCTGAGTCGTATGACACCAAAATCAGCTCGAGATCTTGATTATGAGCCAAGATAAAAAGGTTAAAAATGGTCAACGTAAACTTTGGAGCGTCGGCAAGTCGCTTGTGCTAAATCAAACGATCATAACTTTGTCCAAACTTGTTCAATCACGGTAATTTTGGTGTCTTTCTCTCAACTCGCCGAGCTCTTTCAAATGACATACATTTTGGTCATATTTATTATTTTTGACCATTTTGATCCTTGTATCTTTTGACCATTTCGAGACCGTGCCAGTTTGAATCCTCATGATTTTGGTGTCATTTGACTCATCTCGAGGAGCTCTTTCGAAGGACATATAATTTTCATGACCCTTTTTAGACATTTTTAAAGTGCGGTCACAAAACAGAAAAGTACCGACAATGTTATAATAGACTAAAGAATTTTATAGGTGGCTTCAAAATCGTATAGGTTCAAACTTCACTTCACATTTTTTAGGAAAAACGACCCTATATTTAGTTATATTTCGATTTTGTTTGGCCTTTTACTTAATAATTAAACATCTTTAAGTTGATCCAACTGTAGAGGCACGCTGTTTATACGAAATTATGCGTCTTAGAATCGAAATGATGGAAAAAGTGAACAATTTGAAAGAAACTTTAAGAGCTGAATTACGTGCAGAAATTCAACAAAGCAACAATGAACTTCGAGCACAACTTAGACAGAGTAACACGGAACTTGAAGCTGCTATACAACAGAATAAAACTGATCTTCTAAATCAAATTCAACAGAATAATACGAAAATTCGAGCTTCACGAATTATGCATAGGGCTCCGCAAATTATTACTGGCCCGTCAAATTATACAAATGTAAAATTTAAACTATAATCCAAAAAAAACTTATTTTTTATTAAGGGGAAGAAAATACCTGTCTATAAGCTTAGCCTCCTCGTGGCTATTTCTAGGCGCTTCGCTCACCAAATACAGGTGCTCTACCACTAAGGGCACAACGACTATTGCGTTCTCTTTTCTCATCATAGATCGTTTAACCCCCGTCTAAGCGTTGTAAATGCTGCTAGGAGAATCAACCTTAAAATTACATAATATTAATAATTTTTTGTCATAGGAGAATTTATAGAATTCCAATTTTTAGGGTTTCATAAAGATGTCAAGTAGGGGCCCGGCCTATTTAAGAATGAGGAGATAGATGTTGATGAGTGTTTCCCAGAGACACCAAGCTAAGTAGGGTTACTGGTTCGGTATACCGCTTGATCGAGTACTAGGCTGGATGAATACAAAAAAGGAAGAGAGCTTAGTTAAAATCAACTAGCTAAACGACTCTCAGCTCTGACTGACTGAAGTGATTTTCCATATTTTCCTAGGGTTTATAATCATCTCTATGGGAAGAGTTCCGTATTTAAAATTTAAATAGGACTAGAAGTTAAATTAAAATTCAATTAAAACCTACTTTTAACAAAAAATTTTTACAGAATGCGGCTCTTGTTATCATGGTTATTGCATTTATGTGGAATGTATTTTTTGCCTGCGTATGTATTGTATCTACATTAATTATCAATATACATGCATAAGTACCGTAGTAGCCTCCCCCCCCCCATTCATAGTTGTATCAGACAAAAATTAATCAAACTCAAATAGTCGGAGGCGGGATACTGAATGAGTGACCAAAATAATATTTTTTTCCCAACAGAAAATCGAGTAATTAAAATGGAGTGTAGAATTCTTTAAAATTATTCACTTAATCTTAACTTGGAATTAATATTTTTAAAATTAAATACTTAATATTATATTTTTAATTAAATTTACATTATATACAGGATGCGTAGAAAGTCCTTGCCCACACTCTTTTTGGCATAAAAATCTAATCAAGTGGAATTTTGCCAAATAAATTCATACATACAATCAAAAGAATGTGTGTTACTAGAAAATGGTAAATGTCCGGTTGGTGTCCTACATGTCCGCAAAGAGAATGCGCATTTCTCCTTCCTTTTCTTGCATTTTTTCTTGCAAGGAGTGGCGGCCAATTTTCCCTTGGTATGCCTTCTGGAACGTGGAAGGAAAGAGGAAAAATAATTGAAATTAATTACTAATAAAGTACAAAAATATTTTATTTTACTAATAATTCCCCCACAAATAATTTCTCAAGTGAAAATTTACATTATATACATATTTTAAAATTTAGTTATTAACAACGTATATAAAATGAAATTCCTTGCTACTTTTTGTTAAATAAAACATTGAATTGAAGAATGTCAAGAAGACCTTTCAAAAAAATTTTTTTAATCTGTAATTACACTTGATTTTCACTTTGATTTAATTATCAAATATCTTTTAAATATTTTATTTCTAATTTTCATTAAAACTAAATGCATAACAGGTGCCACTTTCATTTCCTTCTTGGCAATACTGTGTTGCGTGTACAACAAAAGTGAATTCGCCTGATCCACATACCTAATTGTGTGGGTTTAATTCAAAAATATATAATTTTTTGGTGTACTCCTTTTAAGCTTTGAATTCATCTCTTATTGGGAATTGTTAAAATTAAAAATTTGAACATAAAATCTGACATTCTTAGTGAATTATTGTACGAAAATAATTTACTTTTGGTTTTGAAATTGGTTGACCTTGCGTAATTTAAGTTAAGAAATTAATAGAGCTGCTTAAATATGGGGGGGGGGGGTTGGGGGATTAGGCTAATGTAAGTCCTCTCTTTTTGGGAAGAAAAAGTGGTTGCACTCTATTAAATTTAAACTCGATATTATTTTTCCCCGATATTACAACCCTCCCTTTCCGTCTCTGGTCCTTGGTCCCATAAGATGCCCTGAAAATGGATCCCAAGAAAGTGTGTCTTAACATTGTTTTTATACGTTCAATTTTGTTCTGGGAATGACTTAAATCAAGCTTTGATCAGAAAATTAAGGAAAAGCTTAAAAGGAGTACTTAGACTCGACATTTTAATTACCACATTAACACGAGTTCCTTCGCCCATAGCGAGCTCTGCTATTGCTTGTATCCTTCGTTTTGACAATTCAAGATCCGTAGAAATATTCTACAAAATTTTCATTTCTAGATTGATTTTTAAAAATAAACAGTAGGATCTCGCTATAAGACACCCCTCAACTTACTGGGGTGTATCTTAAATAGGGACTCCCCCCCCTCAAGTAGGGACTCCCCCCTCAAATAGGGACTCTACCCTCCCCCATAGGGACTCTCCCCTCCCCCATAGGGACTCCCTCAATAAAAACTTCCTCACCCAAAGGTTAACCAAATATTAAAAACCGTCCCTTAGATAGAGGTGTATCTTATATTGAGGGTACCTTAAATCGGGGTATGCTTAGTGTGGAGTGCCATATAGGGGGTCACCCACCCAGTCTCTCCCACCCAGTAGTAAACCAAATTGAAAAAACTGTCCGTTAGATAGAGGTATTCCTTATATTCGAGGACATCTTATAGCGGGGTTCGATTTACCTCCAAAATAATTTTCCTTAATATTTCACTATTACACTTTGCATTGTCATTATCATTCATAAAGCTTGCTATTGTATCACCCAAAATATTATCAAATATATTGAAAGGTAAATCGTTGCCTCCAGAATGAGTGCGAGTACCAAATGTTGCAAGGAAATGCCTTAATAATTTTCTCGTTATTAAAAACTTTTTTATCAACCTTTTCTGCATTAGTGTGTTGCTGGGTAAGACTAGACATGAGCGAATACCGCAATTACAGCAACAATCATTCTATGATTTTTTTATTTCTATATTTTAGTCGAACCTCACTTTAGGATAACACCCGGTACTCGATTGTAAGGTATATACTAGATTTGTTCCACGACATACAATCGTGCCGCTATAATATATACCATTAAATAGGAGGACACGGGGAAAGTTTTTCTGGTAGGCAGTGCCAGGGGGGGTGAACGGGGAATTTTCAAAAATATCAAAATCCCCGACTTTCGGGGACTGGGCGGGGAACAATCCTAGCCCTTAATTTGATTGGTGAGGGGCACCCCAAGCTTACCTTTTATTTAATATATATTTTTCAGCCCCAAATACATTGGGGGTGGGGTGGGATGGTCTATCTTATAGTGAGGTTCGACATATTTATTTTTTGTCAATTTAACCAACCTGAGCACTTATACTAGTTGCAAAAATATTTCCACGGGGAGGGCAAATAATTTTGGGAGGAATTGGCAAAGGAAAAGGCATAGGAGGAGGTGGAGGAGGTCGTCTAGGTGGTGGTGGTAGTGGGCATGGAGCTAAAAATATTTTTAAAAATTTTTTAAAATTAAATTTACCTGGTCTCGGGCACGTAGGAGGAGCTGGGCATGGTTGGGGAGGAGGGCATACAGTTGGGGGTGGACATGAAATTCTTGGAGGTGGTGGGGGGATAATTGGCCTCTTAACTTTTATTTAAAATTTTTCTTCATATTTTACTTACCTGAGGTAATGGGCAGTTTATTGGAAGTACCAGTGGTTGCGGCTGTTAAAATTAAAAAATAATTTTTTTGGGAACCTTTTTGATGAAAATTTTTTTCTTTGCAGTCGGATCCCACTATTATACCCTATGGGGCTCTCTGAAATACAAGTGCGTCGTTTAGGCAGCTCTGTCACCCACCCGACCCGATCCGAAGAAAATTTTGAAACTCGATCCGAGACCCAAACCTGCCTTATTTCTCAACTCAGCATATCCCTGCTTTGTAGTAGGGAACAAGCCGACATAAAAATAAAATTCCCGATTTCGGGAAATCAGGATCCCGACCCAAAAAATCGTCAAGAATTCCCGATTTTCGGGAAAAAAATAAATTTTTGGGAACCTTCTGAAAATTTCGAAACTCGATACGGCTCGTTTCCTGCTTTGTAGTATGTCCACCCCTACCTATCCTCAAAAAGAGTTTCCTTCCCACTATAGATCTGTCTTATTTCCCTTTCTTTCATCTCCTCTAAAATATTACCTCTGCACATTTAAACGCAGGTAAGGTGCACGGAGGGCACAATAACGATGTTGGTGACCCTAACAAATCTGCCCCAACATTAGGTGATTGTTGCACTTTGATTACTTGTTGTTGTTCATTTAATAAATTTAAAACCCTCCTTTTCATTTCTTCATTTTCTGTATTTATTTGTGCAAGGACCAAATAATTTGATATTGTTAGTAGAAAAATTAAGGCTGATTTCATTTTTATTTTACTAAAATATTTTTCCTCTGAGACCTTCTAGCAATTATTCCTCATATTCCCATTAACTAATCTCAACTACTTTTTACAATTATTGCCAGGAGCTTTGCTAAACACAGTCAGATTTTATGCTTTAGCAGAGCTTCTACTCTTTTATGGATCTTAAACCCTTGGCTAACCGTTTTTAAATAATGCGAGTCATCTTGTAGGGTTGCTTGATTAATAGGGACTAAGGTTGACGTCTCTGTATAGCTTGAACGGAAAACCCGGAGAACCAGAAAGATTCGGTTCCGTTTAAAGGCGCGCTTCTTACAATTATTGCCAGGAGCTCTGCTAAACACAGTCAGATTCTTTCATCTAGCAGAGCTTCCTTAACGGAAACCGAACAGATAAACTGAAAATCTTTGGTTTATCGATTCGGATTGAAACCGATAAACATAGACATCTTCATAAAATCCTATCCACCTTTTGGTCACTAAAAATTTTCGGCAAAATAAATATAAAACTACCACTAAATATTATTTTAGCAGCAACTTCCTTATTTTTAAGCAATTTTTATTTGTTTGTTTTTCTTTCTATAGGCGATTTTTTTCTATTCTTTATATGTTTTAACAAATAATTTTCTATGTATTTTTAAGTACTACTAGTTTCAGAAAATAAATATTTTTTGGAAATTTTGAAGTGTGGCGACCGCCCAAGGCCATCTTTATATCTTAAAATTATAAAATTTGAAATAACAAATTTGGAAAAGAGAAGCTTGTTGACATTTTTTCATGTAACGTTTTGTCGTCTGAATTTCCGATTTTGAAAATTTAGGATGATTTCCGAGTTCCGAGCCATTCCTGATTTCCAACAGTTCCGATTTCCGGCACCTTCGTCTTTTCCAATTATCCTCTGCCTCTCACCCAAGGACCATCCAACTTTGTCACTAGTCCCATACACCGATCCGGTCCGTCAATATGGCATCTTAATAAGCTCGAAGAGCTGTTTCAAATCACATCAAAATGAACGCGATCGCAATCCAAGTTAGGGCCTCACAATGGTCAATAACCTAAAAATCGTCTTAATACCGCCTTCAATTTTTTGACCATTATGATACCATAACTGCTTGCTCTAATGCCAAATTTCGATGTCAGTCGACTCCAGCTTCGGGCTCGTTCGAATTGCACATTAACTGACCGAATCGGATTATGGGACTTTTGATAACGGCGCAAAGCTATAAATTCCTTCAAAATCCCTTCCAGCAAATTATGGCTTTGTGCCTTTATGCCTTTGCACGCCCTTTTGGTACACATTTTTTATTATATTCCGCGGATGTTTTAAAGATTTATTTTAAAATAAAATTTTCCTTTTAAAATTTTAGTTATAAACAGAACAATTAAAAGAATACATATTTA